AGTGCAGTGGCACGTTCATGGCCACCACAACCTCGACCTGTTGGGCTCAGGTGATCCTTCCGCCTCAGCCTTCCAAGTAGGTGGAACTACAGGCATGCGCCACCACGCCTGGCTAATTTTTTCATTTATTGTGAAGATAAGGGCTCACTAAGTTGCCTAGGCTGGTCTCGAACCCGTGGGCTCAGGCAATCCTCTCACCTCGACCTTCCAAAGTGCTGGGATTATAGGCGTGAGCCACCGCGCCCGGCCGTTTTCTTCTCTTAATAGAGCTTCCTGAGTTCAGGTAACTGGTTCATTGGCCCGACTCCCACGGGGTCTCCCCAGTGGAACCCCCGGCGGGGAATGGGAGGCGGAGGAATGTGGAGGGGAACTGCAGTGAGGCCTGGGAGCCCAGGTCTCGGCCCTTCGCCCAGCTCTCGGAGCCTTCCAAGCCCGCCCGGAAGCCTTACAGATCCTGACGGGTAACCCCACAGCTGCGACCAGGCCTCTTCCCGGCACTCCCTAGTGACGTCACCTGTCTCACTCGGCGCGTGTGTGGTCCCGCCTCCCCGCCGGCGTTGCCGGGGTGACGACGCGTCCCCGGCCGCCGGCCCAAGGCCCGGCCGGGCCGCCCCGCGCAGTATCCTAGCTCCTTGCGGCTCGCTGTTCCGGCTCCGCCCCAGCTCAGCCCCGCCCCGCCAGTGGAGAAACTGTCGTGTAGCAATGACGTCGCGGGTGCCTGGCCGGGCGTCGTGGACTCCGGAGATGGAGGAAAAGGAGCAATTACGGCGGCAGATCCGCCTCCTACAGGGTGGGTCGGACCGGGGGCGCTTGTCCCCTTCTTTCCCCCTCACCTTGCGGCGGGTCCCCGCCTGCCTCCGGAAAGGGTTTGCTCTCCGCACGCGGCGTCCCGGTGTCGGCTCGGGTGGGGGCCGGTAGGGTCAGACAGGGCTTGCGGGTCGGTCCGGGTCGGTCCCCCCGCCTGGGCTTCGTTGGGAGAGTGATGCTGGCTGTACTGGAACTGCGGTGGGTGAGGAGGGGCGTCGCTTAGTAACCGGCGGGG